CCCCAAGGCAGTCCGTAGCCATTTGGGCGCAAGCGATTTGAGCTCAAGCAAAGGTTTTGGGCTCTGCGGAAAGTGCAGTGGCCCTCGTCGCCCCGAACATGCTCGACGAGCGCACATGGTTTATCATTTTCAATGTTCTGCCGATTCTTGCCACAGTCCAATGGGCCTGTTCATTATTGGGGAGGGACCTCTTGTCGCTAGGCTGCTTAGACTGTAAAGCAATCGGTGCAACCATAAAGCGGCTATTCATCACACCCGAGGGCCCGTTGCATCGTCAATTGAACGAAATGGCACGCAGGCGGCTCACAGAGCAGGTAATTTGGGGATGCCCGTTGATTTTGCTATGTATCATCTGTTATAACATATGGCGCATACGGGAGGACGATATTTCCGAACGGTCGTTTTTTGTCAACGTGGCGATCACTCTATTCATTGTTGTAGGTGTTCTCAAACCACGTTGGATCACCCCTACGGTCATGACAGGGACGCAGCTGATTTATTATATTGTCCTCATCTGGATTGCGATCACTGCTAACAATAGCGACGCCTTTCTGAAAGCCGCCCCTATTCGAATTTGCCAGCGGCTCTTGATCGCCATACCTCATGCGAAGCCCAGGATGACTCTGTTGTTGTGTATTATGTACGTCGCCCTGACGCCATGGTATGACACGCAGGAGTCCATTTCATCGCTTTTCATCTTCGCCATAACAGCAACCGTCACGCGGTCCCGCGATGCTGAGTTCCTAGCAACGTTGGAGGCGAAGGCATCGAGAAACTTTGAGTCCACAGCCACTGGACTCCTTTCAAGTGTGTGCGACGCGGTGGTGCATCTGTCGAAAGATCTTCGGTTCTTGGAGCAGTCCAGTCACCTTGCCTCGCTACTACTCAGACCTCCCATCGATATAGGAGTCGGCACTTCCGTTGTTGATCTAGCTTTCGACGATACTGAGGTAGTGCGTCTGACTGATTTTTTGAAACGGCCAGCGCCTAACACAAGCACTCTTCACGTGTCCTTCAAGGATGCATGGGGCAAGCCTGTAAATGTTCAGCTGTTCCACGCCCGGGGAGTTGATATGGACGACGAGCTCATCCACATCGTTGGTGTGAAGGATGATTCGGATGAGCCTCGGGCGCCGCCCGAGGTTACGTTTCGCGACAATACTGTGGCGCAGCCTTTCACGCCTGGAGGTTTTGCAAGAATCCCAGAGGATGCGGTCAGCCTCTCAGGGAGCTCCTCTTCTGGTCTACTGACCGACGCCCCGAGCGGGGTACTGTCTGTTCACCTCGACCCAGAAACGTTGGGCTTGCGCGTATTAAAGTGCACCCCCGAGTTCACGAGTTTGGTTGGGCCTGTTTGCGAGGGCGTTGAGCTGCTGCAGTGGGTCATTAATGATGCGGACTTTGTGAGCTGGGAACAGGGTGCGTACCGTGCTCTGATGGACGCTCATAAAGACAGGGATGGCGAGAACGACATCGAGCTGGACGTAGATCCATTCCCGATCCGCCTCAAGCTGCCCCACATGGGTTCAAGAGTTTCCGAGGTGCGTGCGAACGCGAGCTTGAGGCTGAACGTCTCGGAGGCCGAGGGCGGCAGCGCGTCCCTCGATCCACAGATGCTGATGATTCTGGATGATGTCCGCTACGTTCCTCGAAATCAGAGGGAGCGGCCGCGGGGTCCACCGAGAACCATCTCGGTATTATGACCAGTGGTGCTCCTTTCTCACCCTCCCTCCAAGAAGCTTCGTTTGGTGTTGTGTTGTTCGCCGTGGTCTGGCTCTCCCTTCTTCTGCCTCCTTTCATCCTGTGGTCTTCGGTATGCTGCCTCAGCTGGGCCACTTGCTGCATGTTTCAATTTTCGCACCTCGGCCGCGCCAGTTCGTTCGTGCGTGCGGTTACGAGCAAAACCACCCCTGGTTGGCCGCGCCATGTAATTTATAGAGCTATTTTCAACGGCAGTCGGCAAGCGACAGCGCTTAGCGTTGTACACCTTGCCGCGGTTTTTTTCCAGAATTGTGCAGCTATTGTCGGCGCTCCGGCGCCCCCGCTGCGCTCTTAGAGGGCCGCGCTCCGGCGCGAACTCCAGCGTCCTGCTACGGTCTTGCTATCCTATGAAGTATGGAACTGGATTTTTAACCATGGAAAAAAGAAGGGCTCCAACAAAAAAAAAAACATCCCCAAGACAGCCCAAAACGTTCCCAAGAGGCCCCCGAGCCAGCCCAAGAGGGCGCTAAGACGGCCAAATTGGCCCCAAGACGGCGCCCAAGACGGCCCAAAAAGGCCCCGAGTTGCCCAAGACGGCCCAAGATAGCCCCAAGACGGTCCAAGAAGGCTCCGAGGCGTCCCAAGAGGCATCCAAGAGCACTCCTTTGAGGGCCCCAAGAAGCCACAATCGTTGAATCCCTACGGGAAAACGCACATGTTTTTCATACGCGATTTTTCTGCTTTCACGGCTTTGAAGACGGCCCAAGAGGCCCCAGACTTGCCCAAGAGAGCCTAAGGTATTCCCAAGAGGCCCTCAAGACAGCCCACGAGAGGGCCAAAAAGGCCCAAGGGCTGCCCAAGACTGCCCAAGTTAGCCCCAAAGCATGCCCCAAGAAGGCCCAAGAAGGCCCCGAGTCGTTCAAGACTGCCCAAGACGGCCCCAAGAAGGTCCAAGAAGGCTCCGAGACGTCCCAAGAGGCTTCTAAGAGCACTCCCAAGAAGATCCCTAGACACCAAATTCGCTACATTCCTGTAGGCGAAACGTACATTTTAAACATATGCGATTTGGGGGCCTTCACGGCTTTGAAGGTGGTCCAAGAGGCCCCCAAGACTTCCCCAAGCGAACCGAAGACCCTCCCACGAGGCCCCCAAGATAGCCCAAGAGGGCGCCAAGACGGCCCAAGGGCCGACTAAGACGGCTCCAGGAGGGGTCCAAGAGGGGAATTCCGACTCGAAAGTAGCAGCTGTCCGCCCAAAGAACCTCCAGGAGGCCCAAAAAGTTCCCAAGAGGTCCCCAAGAGACCCCCAAGAGGCCCAAACGAGGCCCCAAGATGGCTCAAAACGGATAGGACGGCCTCCAAAGGTTTCCCAAAGGGGTCCGGAAAGGTCTTCTTGCGGATCCGAACATACACAGATATACGACGACGACGACGACTTCTTGGCCCATTCTTAGATCGCTGTGAGATGGCCTCAGGAGGTCTTGGAAGTCATGCATGCATACATACATACACATACACATACACATACACATACACATACACATACACATATGCATACACATACACATACACATACACATACACATACACATACACATACACATACACATACACATACACATACATACACATACACATACAAATACACATACACATACACACACATACACATACACATACACATACACATACACATACACATACACATACACATACACTGCAGAAGCGGAGACCTGGGCCCCGGGACGGCACGGCACGGCCTCCCGGATTCCACCCTCCCCATTCCGTCACCGGAAATTCGGGCCCGTTCTGGGGCCTCCTGGGCCTTCCCCCGGCCGTTCAAATCATTTCCGGGGAGCGCAAATGAGCGACCAGAGCGGCTCAACAGGGCCCCGAGACGCTTCGAGATGGCTTCAAGACGGCCGAAGAGCCCCAAAGAGGCCCCCGAGACTCCCCGAGAAGGCTTCGAGATCCTCCCCAAGAGGGCCCCGGATGGCCAAAATTGCGCAATTCCTTCGCGTATATTGTCATCAATTCCGCTTTTTAAGTTTAACGTACGAGACGGCCGAAGAGGCCCCCAAGACGGCCCAAGAGGCCACCAAGAGAGCCCAAAACAGCTTAAGAGAGCCCCAGGGCGGTCCAAGAGACCCCCGAAACGGTTTTTGTTGGCCCAAGCAGGGCCCACGAGGAGGAACTCCAACTCATATTTCGAGCCCTCCAGACCGCCAGCAGGCCCCCAAGAGGCCCAAAAGAGGCCCCAAGAAGCCCCCAAACAGCTCCCCTGAGGCCCCCAGAGGCTTCAACACTGGCTCCAAGAGGCGCTCGAGAAGCATGCAAGCCCCTAACCCACAGCCCAGGCCCGGTGGCGGTATGAGCCCAAGGCCACTAGACAAGCAGACCATGAGCCGGGCGAAGGGCGCTGACACCGCAGGTGGAGCTCTCTGCGGGGTGCGACCCGTATCAGGCATGTGCCCAAATGGGCGGGGGGACGCCATTTGCCCATTAGTGCCAAAGGTGGAGCTTTTTCAGGTGCGCGCGAGGGGCGTCCCGAAATGTGCGGGAGCATGCTGTGCGAACCATATTCTGAAGCAGTGGGTGGTGCTCCTTGTGGAGCGCGATTCGCGTGCGGGGTGTGCCCCAGTGAGCTGATTGGGCGACCTTCGTGTCTACTGGGGGCCTACGAGTTATCTGAAGGCAGGTTAGAGCGGCCTACGGGTGGCCCCCCACTTGACAAACAGATCATTCAATGCATGCACGTATGGGCGCCTGGATGGGTTTGTGTTGTAAGGATGCTTGTGAGGAGAAATGAAATGATGGAAGCCTGGGTCCATAGTTTCACAGGGGTGTCATGTATTTTCTCGGCTGCTCGGATGACGGTATCTGGATGAAGATATTCATCAATTCCAGAATTGTGGGATGTATGGACGAATATATGGTTGGATTGGTGTGGGAACGGACGGGTGTATGGATGGGTGCGTGTACGTTTGTGGGGCTAAGCTGGAACGTGCTAGAACCGAAGAGTGCGCGAAGCGCGCGACGGCCCCTTCCAGCCCCAAGAGGTCCAAGGCTTCCAGCACTTCAAACTGAACACGCAACCTGGCCTTAAACCCGAGGCCCCCTAAGCGAATCAAGGCTTCTCTAGACGCTTTGGGATGAACGCCAACACAATTCGCGGCATGCACTCACTGTGTTGAGCAAGCCCTGCTCTAGAGCTGAGACCACTCGTGGGTGCGCGCATGCGTGCACCCGTGAATTTGTTAATGCATGCAGCAGTGACTTTGTAAATTGCTAGCGTTTGCTAGAACCTGAGCGCGCGAAGCGCGCGCGCACACACATTCACACATGCAACACACACACACACACACCGGGGACACGAAGGGTTTCGGGGCCGCGCTCGCCTACAGCTTCGCCGACAGCTTCGCCAGCAGCTTCGCCGACAGCTTCGCCAGCAGCTTCGCCGACAGACTCGCCGACGGCATGCGGCACGCTGACCGACAGCTGGCGGCCCGCTCGCCGACGGCTGGCGGGCAAGCAGCTGGAGGACGGCCGTGCGCTGTCAGACCACGCCGGGGACGCGAAGGGCTTCAGGGCCGCGCTCGCCGATAGCTTCCCAGACAGCTTCGCCGACGCCTTCACCAACAGCATGCCGACAACTGGCGGCCAGCTGCCTCGCCGACAGCGTGGCCAAACGACTCGCCGACGGCTGGTGGCCCGCTGGCCACGGGGGAGCTGGAGAAGGGAGTGGTCTACGAAGAGACCAGCGCTGGGACCGAGCGGCGCGGCGAGCCTAGCAGGCTTCGTGGTTTCACCCTCGCGGTTCCGCGATGCGCGTCCAGCTGGTTGCGAGAGTCAGCAGCGGCGGGGCTCCACAGAACCCTGGGGGACGGGGGCCACGCCTGTGCGCTGGCGGGGCATCCCCCTTTGATGGGCTTGTTTTCCACCACCACCACCACCATAAGTTGGAGGGGGAGGGGGTCCTCCTCCTCCTCCTCCTCCTCCTCCTCCTCCTCCTCCTCATCATCATCATCATCCTCATCATCCTCATCCTCATCCTCATCCTCATCCTCATCCTCCTCCTCCTCCTCCTCGTCCTCATCCTCCTCCTCCTCCTCCTCGTCCTCCTCCTACTTCCCCCCTCCAACTTATGGTGGTGGTGGTGGAAAACAGGCCCATCACCCTTAAGCTGCTCGCTGGTGTCGGGGCCAGCGGCCAGGACGAGCGCTCTGCCGGGTTGGGCGGCCCCTGCGGGGGGGAGAGCGGCCCCGCGCGTGCAGTCCGGGCTCCGCGGGTCCAGCCCGGGCCCCGCGAGCCTGGCCCAGGAGGCGGGAGCGGTGCCGCGAGGGGCTCCGCGAGCCTGGCACGGAAGCGAGCCCTCGGGGGCGGCCAAGATCGACTAGACGTAAGAGTGGCCTCTCGCAGGAGTGACCTTTGGTGCGGGCACAGATGGGTCCCCAGATGGCTGAAAACGAAGCAGGAACAGCGGCTTGCGCGCCCAGGTTTGGTCCCCCCGCGGCCCCCAAAAAGCCACGCACGAAAGGTCACTCTTACCCAGGGTCACTCTTGCGTGTAGCCGACAAGAGGGGGGTGACGACTAGGAGTGGGGGGGGCAGACATCATGGCGTGGGCCGTTCTTTTTCCTCCGATTTCGTGGCGCCTCTTCTTATTGAATCGCTTCGCTCATTCCGCCGGCCCATACGGTCTCATGTCTGCCGTTTGCCCGAGGGCCTGGTGTCAATGCGGCGCTTTGGGGGTTCCTGGGGCCGGTTGGGGGACTCCTGGGGCGCTCGGGGGGGCATTTGGGGGGCCTCCTGGGGCCGCTTGGGGGACTCTTGGGGGCCTCCTGAGGGCCTCGTGGGGGCCTTTTGGGGCCTCTTAGGGGCCTTGGGGCCTCGTAGGGGCTTCTTAGGGCCGAGGGCTCGAAATTTTGTTTCGTGTTCCCTCTCTTCTTGGACCGTCTTGGAGGCTTCTTGGGCCGTCTTCGAGCCCTCTTGGGCCATCTTGGGGCCCTCTTGGGGGCCTCTTGGGCCCTCTTGGGGCGATCTTGGGGGCCTCTGGGGCCGTCTTGGGGCGTCGGGAACCGAAAAGGTGGAAGCTCCAAAATCTCTCAAAAACCTAAGGAAAAACAATGAATTTTGCCTCCGGGGGCCCTCTTGGGAGTGCTCTTGGAGGCCTCTTGGGGCGTCTGGGGGCTATCTTGGGCGTCTTGGAGCGATCTTGTGGCATGTCGGACCCCTCGTGTACCATCTTGGGGGCCTCTTGGGGGCCTCTTGGCCTTTCTTGGGGCTCTCGGGGACGTCTCGGAGCCCTGTTGGTGCGCTCATGGAGCGCTCCTGGAGCGCTCTGGGGGACTCCTCCCGGGACTCTCTCAGGACCTTGCCGGGGTACTTTTCGTCCGTGGACCCCCAGGGGCCGCCCCGCGCGCGCGAACTAGAGAATTGTTAACCAGTTACCGGAGATCTTAGCACGCCTCTGGCCCGTTGGGCCGGCGAATTTCACTGCGTCCCTGGCCCCCCCTTTGGGCCGCGCACATGCCGCTGGACATGATTTACGCCCCCCCCCTCTTGGACGCCCCCCTCTTGGCCGCCCCCGAGAGCCCAGCAGGCTCCGCTGTTTCACCCCCGCGGCTCTGCGAGCCGCGTCCAGCCCTGGCCGCGCTGTCGGCCCAAGGTAGCCCTGTCTGTTGCGGCACCCTGGCGTGCCTCGGGGGTCATTGCCCTTGTGCACATGTGCGGCGAGGTGAGGTTGGGTGGGCCTGCGACGCTCGCAGCGTCCGCGGGGTCCCAGGGATACGCCTCCTCACCTCCAGGGCTCCTCCCCTCCTCGGGTTCTTACTCCCATCACAGGGGGGGTGGGGGCAGCATCCTTGGAGCGGCAGGGACGCTGAGCGAGGGCCCCCAGAAACGCCACCCGAAAAAAGGGGCATCACCGTTAATTCCTCCCCCATTTTCCGCCATAGCACCGCTGTCGGGATTCATAGAGGATGCGCCTCTGTCTGCTGACACGCAAGTGTGTCCTCCCTTGCCTTCCGACGTCTGTTATCATGTGGATTCGGGCGTTCGGCCGTTTCAGAACAACTGGGGCATCATGCTCCTAGGATTAAGTCGGGCCTGTCCCTCCACAGGAGGAGTATTCAAACATAGCGATGGTGTTTGATTGTTCTAGCGTATTGTTTTGCTGCATATTTTTCCCGCCCAACATGAGCCTGTAAGGGGACGTGCCCGACCTAATTCTAGGAGCAGCAGGGGCCCTGAGCCAGGGCCCCCAGAACCACCACCCGAAAAAAAGGCATCGTCGTCACCTCTTCCCATTCTCCGCCATCACATGGTTTTTCGGGTTCATCGAGGATACGACTTTGATTGTTCTATGGCTCAATGACTTTTGTCGGCGGCAAGCCCAGGGGGGAAGTGAAGGCGGCGGGGCGTTTCAAAAGCCCTCGCGCCTTCTGAGAAGTTGCCGGTGTCTCCGGGTTAGAACACTTTTCAGGAGGTCCGAGGCGTTCCGAGCTTCCTGAGAAGGCCCGCCCCCTCTCACTTCCCTCGCCGCCGATGTTACCGGTCTTACGAAGACCTCTCAGGAGTTGTTTTGTCAACTCTGCCGCTTGCTGACGAGGCCAGCCTGTCCCCTGTCCCCCCCTATTGAACACTCGTCCGCCGCTGAGGCGCACTTGCCATGGAAGCTGCGACGGCTCGACTGGCGCTGCTATCCCCTTTTGCCTTATCCCCGCTCGAGGAAGGAGAGACGGAGGAAGGGAGGGAGGGTAAATGGAGGAAGGGAGGAAGGGGGGAAGGGGGGAAGGGACGACAGGGGAAGGGAGTAGGAGAAGGAGGAGGAGGAGGAGGAGGAGGAGGGATGATGTCGATGACGGTGATGATGGTGGTGGCGAGATGGCGACGACGACGACGACGATGACGATGACGATGGCAATGATAATAATAATAATAATGATGATGGTGCTGATGATGATGATGCTGTTGGCGACAATGATGATGATGCTGATGATGACGATGATGCAACTGATGATGACTATGATGATGATGATGATGCTGCTGACCATGATGATGATGGTGATGATGATTATGATGGTGATGCTTAGAGTCAGGACAATTGCGAGGAATGAGGATGATCTTAATGATGGTGATGCTGATGGTGATGAGGATGAGGACGAGGATGAGGACGACTGTGACAATGTGAATAACGACGACGATGATGATGATGATGATGGTGACGAGCTTGATGATGATGGTGATGGTGATGATGATGATGATGAAGATGGTGATGGTGATGATGATGATGATGATGATGATGATGATGATGATGATGATGATGATGATGATGACGATGGTGATGTTTATCCTGGCGATACTGACAATGACGATGAGAGTGATGTTAATGTTTAACCTGGTGATGTTGATGATGTTGATGCTGATGAAATTGATGTTGATGTTGAGATTGATAATGATGTTGACGGTGCTGATGTTGCTGGTGGTGGTGATTATGTTCATGACGATGATGAGGATTATGATAACAATGATGATGATGTTGATGCTGATGATATTGATGTTGATGTTGGGATTGATAGTGATGTTGACGGTGCTGATGTTGCTGGTGGTGATGATTATGTTTATGACGATGATGATGATGATGATGATGATGATGATCATGAGCATGATCATGATCATGATCATGGTGCTGGTGCTGGTGCTGGTGATAATGAGGAGGATGCTGATGGTTATGGTGATGGTCATGGTCATGATGAGAGTGCGGTGCACAGCATTGATCGTGCCTCCCGGCGGCCGTTTTCAACCCTCAAGGTTTTTTGCTGCGCAGCAGGTGCGCACGGACCTTCCCCGCGGGTGGATGGTCTGGGGCCTCCTCGCCGCCGCCGCCTCCGCGCCTGCCGCGACCAGCGGGGTGATCGCAGCCTTCTCGGCGTGGGTGCTGCGAGGCGCGGTCTCGGACGCGACCGAGGCGGCGCGGGCGGCAGGACGGGCGGAGGTCCATTGCCCAGACATCCCGGAGCCAGTCTGCCATTGTTACTGCAAGTGTGAGGCGGTCGCGGCTCCAAGCGGGGGTCACCATTCCTGGCAGCTCGTCGGTTGTGCGCTCGTCTGTCTGTTCTTCTCCGTGCTGCAGGTGACCGTCACGTGCGTACAGTATGGCGTTGGTTGGTTTGGCAGTCGGTCCGCCACCTCCACCGGGACCACGAGTGCGGGGAGCGGACGGTTGGCCGTTGCCGACGGGGCCAGGGGGAACGATGCTACGGCGTGCACTAGTGAGGTACGTGGGCGCGGGCGAGGAGTTGTCACACGAGCGACTGTTCCTGAATGATATGGTTGGGGGACTGGTCACCATCGCGTCCCCTGATTTCGATGTATACGACGAGGACATGAGCGACCAGGGTGTGTTCGAGACGGCGAGGTTCTTGGGCGACAGCGGGGAGCTGCCGCTGGGACTTGGCGGTGCTCAGCTGCATCGATTTCGGCAGCCACCGACCGACGCGGAGATAGACCAGTTGCTGGCCGAGGCGATCGGCGTCGTCGCCTTCCGAGGAGCACAGGGGGCCGCTGGGGGAGCCGGCGGCCTGGCCGCTGGCGCGCCCAGCGCCGCCGCGGGCGGTGCCGCGCCAGCTGCCCCCGCCGTCGCCTGGGTGCTCGCGGAGCACGTAGACGGGCACAGCATCGGCGAGATTGTGACGATGCCGGCGGGGGCGGTGCAGGCGAACGGCTACGGGCTCATGGTGTTACCCAACATGCAGGTGCCCAGGCCGGTGCTGGCCAAGCAGCTGAACAACTACCAGGCGGAGATCGATACGTTCTGCGAGGAGCGGATCAAGTGGAACCGAGCGGCGACGGCCACCCACGGCAACGACCAGGCGGTGGGTGACGACGCGCGGACTCTGTCGGTGAAGTATGGCCCCGATGGGACACGGAGGCGGGAGTTCAGGCAGTCCGTGCAGGAGATGACAGCGACCGAGTTTGACGACTGGCCTCTGAGTGGACCACGAACGACCGAGTGGATGTGCAGGGAGATGATCAAGATGGCGGAGGGGCCGCGCGCCCAGCACTCAAAGTGGTTGGCCGAGGCAAAGATCCCCGACGGCGACCGCTCGATCCACGAGGACGCCAACTTAGCGCTGGTGCAGGAGCTGGCGGTGACCTACGACGGGCTCAACGTCATGAACTTGGCCTGCATGGAGGCTGTGGCGCGCAGGCGCCAGCTGATTGCCGAAGCCCATCATGCCAACCCCAGCGCGCCGAGCTACGAGGGAGCCGCCCACTTCATGGGCGACGGGATGCGCGCGGGCGGGGCGCTGGTATCACCGGCGCTGACCGCCCATGTGTCCGATCGGCTGCGTGCTGAGGCGGCCATCTCGAAGGAGAAGCGCAAGGCGGCGGAGGCGCGCTCGCTTGCCCCTGGTCGTGGCCGCGGACGCGGCGGCAGGGGCGGCGGAGCGGGAGCCGACGCCGCCGGTGCTGGGTAGCCCACGGGACTAGAGGCGCGGATTGGCTCGGCCGCGTCTCGTCGTTCCCCGAGAGCCTGTGAGCAGCAAGTGGTGAGCAGGTCTTGACTCGACCTGTTCGTCGCTGTCTTCCTGTTTGGAGTCATGGCCAAGCACAGCGGCGAGGCCATCTTTTCTGAGGGAGAGAACGTCCCAAGCAGGTGTCGTGATATTTTCCTTCTGCCTCGTCTCGCTGAAGGGCGCCGAGGTGACCTGCGAAGGATGTGCCGTTCTACGACACGGCGCGTGATGCGTCGGTGGGCTGTGGCAGCCGCAGTCAACAGGTCCGTGGACGCTCTCAACTCGATGTAAAACGGTGCTCGTGATGTGCCAGCCCCTCCGGCCGTCAGCGACCTGATGGCGCTGCCGCAGTGCCAGCGTGCTGCTCTTGCTCATCTGATCGTGCGCGCGCGTGAGCTGGGCCCCAAGCCTCCGAGTGTCACCCGCCCAGGAGCCCTCCAGGAGCTTCGGGCTTTTAAGCATGATTATGCAGGGGGCCTGGGTCAGGGCACCCGGATTCCCATGGTTTTGGAGAAACTGTCGCTTCCAGACGTGGAGCGGTCGCCTGTGGATTTGGGGCCAGTCTTGGTAGGGTTGCCCCTGGAGTGCCTTCAGAACTTTGAAGAGAAGATGCTCGTCGGTGCAGCGTTTTGGAGCCAGCTGTCCGATGAGGCATCTCGAGTGCCGCCTTACACGGACCCGCTGTTGATAGCCCCTGGGGGCTTCTGTGCGTTTGCTTTCAGGATGGCTTCTCGGGGTCTCGTGAGGTTCACTCGGCGCCCCGCCGCTCGTATCGGGGCGTTCACCGTTTTGAAAAAGTCGGGGAAGCAACGTCTTGTCCTCGACTGCCGCCAGTGTAATCTTCGATTCGCACCTCCCCCTCACACTGAGCTAGGTGGTTTAAGTTCCTTGAGTGACCTGGAGATCCCTGTGGGACAGGCCTTGTATTGGGCCGAAGGTGACATCAAGGACTGTTTCTACGAGTGCGGTATCTCGGACGAGCTTTCAGATTTCTTCGCTTTTGAGGCTGACGCGGTCGGGGGGGACTTACTGAATGCAGGTGTGTCGGGGGTGCTCTTGGACGGTTTCAGAGTTGATGAGAAGGTGTCAATGTGTCTCACCGTGTTACCAATGGGGTTTACTTGGTCTTTTTGGTTGGTTCAAGAATACCATATGCAAGTTGCCCGAAGGGAGGTCTCAGACAGTTTCGTTCTCGTGGACGGGCACCCCGTTCCGAATGTGCAGGCAGGCGAGCGCGTCTACATGGCGTATTGTGATAATTTGAATGCCGGCGCTTTCTCGTGTGAGCGAGCTGGAGAGTTGCGTGATGCTGTTCAGAGGGATATGGAGCAGGACGGTTTCACTATCCACGACATCTCGGGACCTTCCCTCGTCGCCCGCGTGCTGGGTTCGGTTCTTAATGGCGATGCAGGTACCCTCAGCCCGGACCCCGACAAGCTTTGGAAGTTGATCGTCGTGTTTGACTGGCTGAATTCAGGGCCCGTGGTTTCGGCGAAAACTGTTGAGAGGCTGATCGGACATTACATTTACGTCGCAATGATGAATCGCCGCACGCTCCCAGTCTTGCGGCACCTGTATGACTTCGTCTCGCAGAGTTCGGAGCCCGAACGTCTTTGGCCGAGCTGCTGCAAAGAGTGTCGCATCATTACTGGTCTTCTGCCACTCGCCGTGGCTGATCTTCGTCAGGAGTGGAATCCCACGGTCACGTGCACCGATGCCTCGCCGACGGGGTACGGAGCTTGCCAGCGTGATCTTGACGTCGAATCAGTTCGGAGGATGGGGAGGTGGAACGAGAGGTGGCGTTTCAAACGACTTGCTCCTGACCAATGGGCCCCCAGGTCTCGTGCTCTAGGATTGGATCCCCAGGAGGACCTCGCCACGGCTGGGAGCGTCTGGGCCCCGGAGGTCTCGAAGGAAGGTCTGTGGGGCGATGCAGGCGATTGGGACTCTTTCAAGTACTCGGAGGATCCCGATTTCCCCGAAGTGCTCCTATATCTTATGAAGCAGGAGTCTTGGGACGTGGTGTTGTATGGTACCTGGAAGTTCTTGGACGAACATATCACGATCAAGGAAGGTAGGACGGTTATTCTAGCGCTCAGACGTCTTTCTCGGGCTCACCGTAATTTTGGAAAGCGGCATCTACTCCTTGTCGACAACATGGGGCTGTGTTTCGCTTCGTCGAAGGGTCGTGCCTGCTCGTGCGATTTGCTCAGGGTCTGCCAGCAAGCGGGGGCCCTTTTGCTCGCCACCAACAGCCGCCTTCGGCCGCGGTGGGTGCCCAGCGAGTTCAATGTTGCAGACGAGCCCTCACGCCGCGAGGAACGGGCGGACGCTCGCCGCCGGGCCCACGCTGCCGACGCGGGCGGGCCAGGAGAGGCAGCTCGTCGGCAAGGCGCAGGCGGCGGGGGGCATCGCTCGCGCGGCAGCGACGGCGCCCACTGGCTCCCGGAGCCTCCGGGGCTGGAGCGTTGGCGAGATGGAGCACGGCCGCCGGGACTCTTCCCAAGGAGAAGCGCTTGCTGACGGCGCTGGTGGATGTCCCCGAGGACCGCCGCCCTTTGCCGCCTTTGGGCACGCGGGCGGCGCTCGACTTGATGTCGCGCAAGAGGATGGCCGAGGAGGCGCTCGACCCGAAGGGGAAGTTGCTTGCGTGGCGGGGCATGAAGTCTCGCTTGGAGGAGCGCAGCGTCTCGGCCAAGATGAATCAAGATTACGATTTCTATCTGAAGGAGTTCAGGGACTTCTGCGCGGAGAACGGGTTGCCCACGGGCATCTCGGCGCAGACCGACTTGCTGCTCGTGGACTACTTCGACGCGAAGTTCCTGGACGGGTACGGCCCCTCGCTCGCGGAGAAGACCATTGCGGCCGTGCAGTTCGCGGAGGCCCGCGCCAAGAGCGGTCAGATCTGGTCGCTGGTGCGGGCACAGAGGGCCTTGAAAGGGTGGAGGAAGGTCGCGCCGCCCACCAGCCTGCCGCCGCTGCCTTGGATCATCCTGGCGGCTCTGTCGATGCATGTGGCGCAGCAGGGGAGGCAGGACATGGCGCTGTACCTGGCGGTGTGCTTTGCGTGCTACCTGAGGCCCTCGGAGGGGTTGAGCATCCGCGCGAAGGATGTGGTTCCTCCAGTCTCGGGGGCGGGGCACGGTTTTCGGCACTACACGGTGATCATCAGGGGGTCCGACGAGAAGGTGCCCGACAAGGTCGGGATCTACGACAACAGCCTCATCCTCGACCAGGGGTATCTGCCCAACCTCGGCGCGGCGCTGCACAGCCGGGCCCGGGGAAAAGCAAGGGGCGCCTTCCTGTTCGACCTCCAGCTGAAGGAGGTGCACGACCTGATGAACCAGGCAGCTCTCGACCTCGGGCTGCGCGACCGCCTGTCGCTCTACCAATGCCGGCACGGAGGAGCCGCCCACGACCTCGTCGGCAAGCACAGAGACAGGGCCACGGTGATGGCCCGCGGCAGGTGGCAGACGGAGAGCTCCGTTCGTCGGTATACCAAGATCGGAAAGGTTCCGAATCTGCTCGCGATGCTCGTGCCTCACGTCCTCGACCATGTGAAAAAGTGCGCGGCCGTTCTCGACGACGCGCTGTTGGGGCGGAAGGCCGCCCTCCAGCCGCCCCGGGCCGTGAGGAGGTGAAGCGCTCGCGGCGCAGGTCTCCAGCTCCGCGGTCGCGTGGAGCTCGATGGGGGCTCGTTGGGCGCCGTGGGTGTCTTGAGGTTTTCTCGGGGTCTGGCCGCTTGACTGCATCGTTGAGAGGCCACGGCATCCGTGCGGAGGGCTTGGACGTTCTTAACAATGTCGACTTGTTGGTCAAGAAGAACCAGCAGAGAGTCCTTGCCCTTATTAGAAGCAGGAGGGTTGGTTGTCTCTGGTTCGGGCTGCCCTGTAATACTTGGAGCAGAGCTAGAAGATGGGGGGGAACTGGTCCAGGGCCTCTTCGGGACGAACAAAAGTATATCATGGGACTCCCTGGGCTGGGTGAAAAAGACGCCAGGAAGGTCAAGGAGGGGAACCAGTTGATGTGGTTTGTCGTTCGTTGTTGCCGGGCCGCGTCAAAAGCTGGGGCCCCCTGGACTATCGAGAACCCTCGCACGAGTCGTGTCTGGAAAGCCCCGGCTGTGAAGAAGCTCGCCAAGATGAAATCTTTCGGGGCCGAGGTTTTATCTCCCGCGTTTGTGCACCTTGATTTCTGCCAGTACGGTGAAGCTTGGAAAAAGAGTACGACGTTGTTATCCCACGGTCTTGATATGTCCTTTGCTGGCCGCAGGTGTACTATGTCAAATGGGCTGTGTTCTCGGACAGGCTGCCGCCACACCGTCTTGGAGGGAAAAGATAGCTGTGGAAATTGGAATACGTTACGTGCTCAAGCTTATCCTAAAGAGCTCACTAAAGCGCTAGCAGGATTAATTTATAAACGCCTTTTAAGCAGTCCACTTCGTGGATAAGGGAGATCTCCAGGCCTCACCAGACCAAACTGTAAGCGTTTGCAGCCGCCCAGAGCGGCTGTCAGTCGGCTCGTGCCATCAACCTTGTAACCTGCCGCGTAGCCCCGCTATGCGTCTGAAAATGTTGTCTGGCCAAGGGGGAGGGGAAGATCATGAGAGTGCGGTGCACAGCATTGATCGTGCCTCCCCGCGGCCGTTTTCAACCCTCAAGGTTTTTTGCTGCGCCATCCCGAACCCCGTCCTGCCTCCCCTCTCTCTCTCTCTCTTTTTAATTGGGGGAGATCTCCAGGCCTCACCAGACCAAGCTGTAAGCGTTTGCAGCCGCCCAGAGCGGCTGTCAGTCGGCTCGTGCCATCAACCTTGTAACCTGCCGCGTAGCCCCGCTATGCGTCTGAAAATGTTGTCTGGCCAAGGGGGAGGGGAAGATCATAATATGGATCCGATGGGGAGGAGGAGGAGGAAGAGAGAAGAGACGAGAAGAGAAGAGAAGAGACGAGAAAAACCGGGAAGAGGAGCGATTCATTATTCTCACCTTTTGTTTGAGGGGCAATGTTCGGGGAGGACAGAATGGGGATGCATCGACCCTCAATCACCCATTCATCGCCAATCGGGGCCGCCTGGGACCAAACGGCTCTACTGTCAGGGGTATACCACTGATTTATCGGCGACGCATCGTCGATTCCAGTTCGATTTTTTCGTCTCAGCTGTTCCCCCCCGAACGTTCCCCCTCATCATCAGCGCCGTCGGCGTAGGCGTCGGCGGCGTCGGCGCCGTCGTTGTCGTCAGCGTCGTCATCGTCGTCGGCGGCGGCGGCATCGTCGTCGTCAGCGTCGTGGTCGTCGCTGGCGTCGCCGCCCTCCTGTTCATCTCATTCGTCCCCTTTCAACGTTGACCCTCAGTGCTCCATCCCCCCTTCCAGGGTCAATTTCGATCCGCTCTATTCGATTCGATATCGGCTCTGGCTGGCCCGATTCGATTCGATTCCGGTCGTCGGTCGATCCGATGCGGCCCGATGTCTGCACCGCGCTGTTGTGCATCATGGCGCGACCGATCCGATTCGAGTTGGACTCCGTACCGATGCAGCCCCACCCGCCGCTCTTGTGGATGCGGTCCGATTGGAGAGGCCTGACGGCCGGTGCCGCCGACCCTGATCGAAAGGGCTAGGAGTGGGGGGAGGAAGCGGAGGAGGAGGAGGAGGAGGAGGAGGAGGCGGAGGAGGAGGAGGAGGAGAAGGAGGAGGAGCAGGAGGAGGAGGAGGAGGAGGAGGAGGATGCTCTTGTGGATGCGGTCCGATTTCCTGGTGCGATCCTGCCGTCTCGCCCGCCCGTCGGAAGCGCCGGGCGCCCGGAGCGCCGCCCGCGGGAGAGGAGCGCGGCCGGCGGCGCCGTGCCGCGCCCGGGGACGTCATCACCGAGGCGGCCCGTCCCCCATCACCGAGGACAGTTCAGCGAGCGAAGAACGGTACAAAATAAACTTTTTCGCCGTCGGGGACACCTGCCCCTGGGCGGCTGGAAAGTTTATACCCCTACGGTGCCACCGTAAGGGTATAAACTTTCCAGCCGCCCTGGGGCAGGTGTCCCCGACGGCGAAAAAGTTTATGTTATACCGTTCTTCGCCCGTTAAACAGTGCAGCCCACCGTTGGAAGCGTTTGGGGCCGCCCGGGGAAGGCTGATTTGGCGTCGACTCAGCGTCGAATTGCGTGGGTTAGCGTCGATTCGCTAGATCCAGCAGGATGGTGCGGGAGGCTCCCATTAGTTGCCACCGAAGGTTCCGAGCCCCCTCGGAAAAGGAACGACGGGCGTTCTGTTCTGCCATGGGCGAGCCTTGGAATCGTTCAGGAGCTCTCTGGGAAGGCCCTGGTGGTGCCTGGGAACGCCCCAGGAGCCATGGGAACGCCTGGAATGGCCCTGGTGCGCCTTGGAAGCGCCCAGGAGCGCCCTTGGAAGCCCCACTCCCAGCCTGGACCCCCGCTCCCGACCTGGTGATAAAGGGGATCCTGGCTGGGGGGTGGAACCCAAACTGCTGATCGCACCTCTGCCAAAGAGCGAGCACGCTTCGGCCGAGGAGGCGAGCCACGACACCGAACGACACCACACCGGGGTCCTGGGTAGGGGTGGGGGTGGGTTGTGCTGTCTTCAGCGTCGGCACCTCCCTCGGGGGGGGTGTTCGAGAGCGCGCACTGCGGCGTCACTGGGCCTTCCACCATCACCATCATCATCATCATCATCATCATCATCAGCAGCAGCAGCAGCATCATCATCAGCATCATCAGCAGCAGCATCATCACCACCATAATCACCATCACCATCGTTATTAAGCTATCATTGCCATCAGCAGTCTCCGCCGCATCATCATCATCATCATCATCATCATCATCATCATCAGCAGCAGCAGCAGCAGCATCATCAGCATCATCATCATCATCGGCATCGTCATCAGCAGCATCATCAACTTCATCACCCGCATCATTATCCTCATCCCCCTCATCATCGTCACCATCAGCATCACCGTCATCATCATCGCCATCATCATCACGTTTAAGCGTCAGCATCACCATCACCATCAACAACATCATCATAACCACAATCACCATCATCCCAAGATCGTCCATCATCATCATCACCATTATCATCCTCATAACCACAATCATCATCAACATCCCCATCAGCATTGTCATCCTCATCCTCATCCGTACCCTCATCCTCATCACCACCACCATCAGCATCATCATCGTCATCCTCATCATCGCTACGACCATTCGCATCACCACTATCATCAGCAGCAGCATCATCATCCTCAGCATGGCCATCGCCATCGCCATTAACTTTCACCGTCAGGATCATGCTAAGCACAATAATAATCATTCTCACCACCATCATCATCATCATCAGCATCGTCATCGCCATCACTATCATCACTCTCATCTCTTCATCATGCAGATGATGATGATCACCATCATCATCGGCATCATAACAATCATAGTCAACATCAGTATCACCGTCGTCGTCATCACCATCAGCATCGTCGTCATCCTCACCGTCATCATCTTCGGCATCACCACCATCATCATAATCACCATCATCCTCATCATAATTTCGTCAGTATCAGCACAACCGTCCGCACCATCATCATCATCATCACCATCCTCCCACCGTCATCGTCATCATCATCGTCATCATCATCATCGTCATCAGTATCATCATCACCATCAGCATCACCATTTATCGTCAGAGTATGCATCATCAGCTGCATAGTATTATCACCATCACTAGCATACCAATAAGAATGATCATACACAGCATCAGCATCATCAGTATCGCCAGCGTCACCAGTAGGATCGTCGTCACTAACAACATCATCGCCATCATCCGTATCGGCATTGTCATTTTTATGATCATCAGGAGCATCGTCATCATCGTCATCATCAGCAGCATCATCATCATTACCATCACCATCCGAATCATCATCACCATCCTCATCCTCATCCTCCTCTTCCTTATCATCACCATCATCATCAGCACCACCACAACCATCACCGTCATCGTGATCATCCCTTCTCCTCCTGCTCCTCCTCCTCCTTCTCCTCCTCCCCGGGTGTCGCGGCGGCGGTCGCCATCTGCTGCAGCTGCTGGGCCATTTGGGGCGCCTGGCGCGGCCCCCTCTGGCCGAGCACCAGTCGATCGGGCTCTCCACATTTCAGCGGAAAGATGGGGTCGAGGATTCGGGTCGTGGTGTTCTTCGATGTTGCAGTTGTCTCGCATCGTCGGACCTCAGGGCGTCGTGACGCGGGGTTGGGGTGCGGACTTTACCCCCCCAGGAGAGCGGGCACGCGCGCCAGGCACCTGCCCTACAGTCAGGGTCCTGCTTGGGACGACGCCACGCATGCCCTTCTGCCCAGGGCGTTGACCACAGCTCGCCCCGATTAGGTGCGCCACACCGAGACAAGGAGGAGGAGAAGGGGGAGGAGGAGGAAGGGGAGAGACAGGGGGAGGGGAAGGAGGTGGTGGAAGAAGGAGGAGAAGGAGGTGGAGGAGGAGGATGAGGAGGAGAAGGCGGAGGAGAAGGAGAAGGAGGAGGAAGAGGACGAGGCAGGGTACGGCACGATGGATTATCGGATTGATGATGGTGATGATGCGGTTGATGGTTGTAATGGTGATTGTGTTGGTGATGTTGATGATGCTGTTGATGACGATGATGATGATGTTGATAGTGGTGGTGGTGGAGGTGGTGGTTGCGATGATGATGATGCGAACCATGGTGATGCTGATGTCGATGGTGATGATGCTGCTGATGATGATGATTGCGATGATGATGTCAGTGTTGGTGTTGGCGTTGGTGTTGTTGCTGTAGTTTCTGATGGTGATGACTATGATGATTATGATGCTGATGATGATGTGATGATATGAAGGTGGTGATGATAAGGACGATGGTGGTGATGAGGAGGAGGTAGAGGAGGAGGAGCAGGAGGCGGAGGAGGAGGAGGAGTGCGAGGAAGAGCAGGAGGACAGTTACATGGGAAGGCGTGTGAATGCTGAGCAATGGTGAAGATGAGGATGATGGTGGTAAGAATGATGGTGGTGGCAATGCTGATGCTTAAGGCGAGAAAGAGGAGGGGGTGCAGGATAGCGACGAGGATGTAGGGGAAAGGATCAGAAGAGGATTGGTGATAATGGAAGCGGGCCGAAAATGAAGGATGATGATGATGGTGATGATGATGAGGATGTATCTGATTATCAGGAAAAGGCTGAGGATAATGGAGTGTTTGAGGTGGAGGAGAAATACGATATGAAGGACGAAGAGCGGGAGGAGGATGAGGAGGAGGCGCAGAAAAAGGGGGAACAGCCGGACTGCCAGCAAGGAAGGGCCAAGGAGACGGCCCAACCCACCGACCCCAACTTTGACCCGAGAGGGCTCAGAAGGGGGCCATGAGGGGGATGCACAGTCCACAGGCATACCCATGCCAGCCCCTGTTACCTCACAAGCAGACTGCCGTCCCATCGGCTCAGCACCGTCCCTGCGTCGCGCACCACCCGCGTGGCCGCGGGGCAAAGGGGGAGGAGCAGCTCGCAGAAAAGCCACCCGTCACGGGCAGTGTGCGGAGGGCAAGCCGCCCGGCGATGACGTTTTGCCTCGCGGCCAAGGGGCACGGGGGAGGAACGGGCCGCACGCCCGGCTCGCGGCTCCCGCAGCCTTTGAGAACTTGCTTGATATCCGTCCCCAGTGTCATCATAGCGCTGAGCCTGTCGGCCAGTGTGGGCTTCAGGCTGCTGGCCTCATGGTCAAATTTGTCTTCTTGCTCCCCATGGCTTGTGATCTGCATCTTCTTGGTGGAGTCGTCAGGATTCGCATTGAGCTCATCTGCCAGCTGCAACGAGATAGTTGTAAGGTTCGCGTAGCAAGCCGTCATGTTCATTGCATCGGTGACCTGACCATTGTCGTGCTGGAGTTTGGGCAGAAACCTCGTCATATCCTCGTTGGCCTTCTTGAAGTCCGCGAGCTGGTCAAGACTGTGCTGGAGCTTTGCCAGCTGCTCCACCATCTTCTCGAACGCACTTCCACGACACATGATATTGCCCGCCATGGTCTCTTCCAGCCGCAACTCCATTGCAGCGAGTTCTTCTATGCCTACGTTGTCTTTCACGGCGCCGTGGATCTGGCCTGCCTCGAGCTGAAGCTTATTGAGAAGATTCTAGACGCTTCGCGTAACCCCACCAGCCCACCTGGGGTTTTGAGCTAGCCAACTCTGCCTCCCTCCACGCTAAGTTGGAGCAGGTCATTCGGCACATTGGCACGCTGGCCACCTTCGCCCATCACCACCCTACGGCGGCTACTTACAACTGCCCCCAGACATGGGCAGGAATGCAGAAGCACGACTTCACTCAGGAGGCCCCCAATGCGCGTGCTTGAAGTGATAGTCCATCCCGCGGACGTCAAGCTACTAAGCAGAGGAGACTGCTTCATCTGCCAGCTGCATAAGGAGCTGATCGGTTCGGAAGACGGGCTCGGCAGCCCACGCACCATGGCAGACCTGGAATACATAGGAGGTGGGGTCGCCATGTCCAACCGCCGCCTGGACGATGACATCCCTGCCTCCCCAGCCCCTGGTACTGCGCTCTCCCCCCCTGCAGTGCGTGATGAGCGATTCTGCAGGCTGCAACAGAGTGCCAGCTTCAGCTGCGACGACTGCACCGCCACGGGGTTGCAGGGTGCAGCTGGCACCTGGGAGGATGACGATACCCGTGAGCTGCTAGCGCAGAACCGCGTGCAGGCTTACATAAAAGGGAAAGAACTGCAGATGGCTCTGCGAATTGTGCTGGGTCAGGTCCTTGGAAAGAAAGGGAATCGCGGCCGCCGACCCCAACCAGGCCGATGGCGGTGCCAAGAAGGCTACGCAGCAGCGCCTCCAGGAGTATA